CTATATTTTGTCAATCTAAATCTAGCATTTCTTGTGCAATGTTCAAGCGTAGCTAGTACATAGTAATTTTATAAGAATGCCGTTACAGATTGCTATCATTCTAATTCTAACTACCAAAATCAATTACTGTTCCGGTTGAAAGAATTCTGTATGTGTATAGAATAGATAACATGTTTAAATTTATATTTTCGATTTTAATACAATACACAAATTAAAGAGAAAAGAACATATACGAGGATGATATCAGGAAAATTTTAAATCTATAACCTGTATTGTAAATGAATATCATTCAAATATTAAAAATAATACAAATAAATGTGCAAAATATATATTTAATAAATGCAAAAGTAAAACACATTTAACTTATTCTTTGATATCTATTAATGACGAATATTGTATTAATTGCAACAGCTCTCCCTCGTGTTCGAATGGACTTAATGTTTGCGCATAAACCGTTTACGTAATTATTTACGTAAGATATGATATCGACATTCCTTCCGGACGTGCGACGCGCGTTCCACGGACATAGGATGCGAAGCATGTTTTCGTTATCGAAACGACATATATTTTTACGAGAGAATTATCTTCCTTTAATAGCAATAACTTGTAAAGAGGATATTAGGCGGTGAAATAAAATGCAAATACTTCCAGAACCGCCATTTTCGTTAAACAGAAAAATCAACCGCATTTCTCGTTAAACCAAAATCAAAATCCAATTTCTCAATATTCAACCTATTCCCGATAACGCGATTCCACCGTACATAACCTTTCAACATAAAAAAAAAATAAGATTTCAATTGAAACGTTGAAAACTTGTATCGAAGAAAATATACGTATCTACTATATAATCTGAAAACTAAATATGAATTTCTGTCGGTCACGCGCGCAATACCCGGAGCTGTTTTTAATTCATAATGCGGCTGTGGAAGGCGCATGCGCTTGATATCAAATGAAAACGTGGTAGCCTGTGTTTCATGCTGTTCCTTTTCCAACCGCGGACGTTCTTGGTTTTCTTCGTCTTTACATCTGATATATCTCTAGCGGTTGTCATTAATCCCTGAATCCTCTGTAAAGGTGAGATAACTTTTATCATTTGGTTAATTCCCCTTGCTGACTGACAGGAGGTTTGCGAAGGGGGTAGTTGCGTGGTCTCCTGCGAAGCCAAGTCGTTCTATCGTTTTACCGAATTCTTCTTCGTGCCACATCTCAAGAATAATGAAATAGAGCGATAGGTTGATTTGTCGTAATTCAAACCATAGAATCGCTTCGGGATCTTATAGATTAAATATGCCAGGATCTCACTTCTTCCGTCCAGTGAGCACTTGTGAAACGGAGTTTGTGCGATTTGCGGTATGTTTTCCACTTGAAAAATCAATATTACGAAGGGCCTGCAATCCGACTTCACCCCCATGGCTTGTAAGGGTTCGGACACGCTATAACAGCCGCCGGTTTCGACGCCGGCGTTCATATCTTCATCGCCTGTCCATTTGATATCGCGAGCTTGTATTTACGCTGGTCTCTCCATAATTATGATATTTCCGGCATTTCAATCAGCTGTTCTCTCTGTTGCTGCATTATTGCATTCGTATCCACCTCGCGATAGGTTGAACGAAATTTAACGCTTTTTTAGTGCATCTCTCTAAATTCCACACGGACGTTCGCTTTCTAAAACATTAACATTGTCTTTGTCCACAATCTAGTTTAAAACATTTTACGGTACACAATGAACTCTGTTTAAACGTTTTCGTTTTTTATAGCTTCTGAGGACTTTTAGATGAGATTATATTATTCTTTTAAGTATGATTTCGTTTTCCATTCTTAGAACACTTGCCACAGGTATGAAGTGATTCTGCAGTTACATGAAATTTAATTGTTACGTAGATTTAGGTATTATTACGTTTGCATTTATAGTTTTGTTCAACATTTTTTACGCAACTCGGCTATGCAATAGTATTCCAGATCCGATGATTATATTAGAAATCTATCATGTTCTGACAATTATTTCTAGGTGTTTGTAATATGCTCCAAAAAGGCCCACGTACATTAGTTTTGTGTGGTCCATCGGGAAGTGGGAAAAGTACGTTCATAAAGAAGCTGTTCGAAGAATATCCAGACAAATATGGCTTCTCTGTTTCTCATACCACTCGAAAACCCAGGCCTGGTGAGGAAGATGGAAAGCATTATTACTTTACAAGTAAAGAGAAAATGGAGAAACAGATAGAGCAGGGAGAGTTCCTTGAGACTGCCACGTTTAGTGGTAACTTGTATGGCACTAGGTAACTTTTTATGATAGCTAAACATTATTTGTCGTGTCTATTTCATTAACAAGATACTAATGTGTTTAGTAAACAGGCGGTGGAAGATGTACAAAGAGCAGGCAAAATCTGTGTATTAGACATTGATATGCAAGGAGTAAAGCAGGTGAAGCAGAGTTCTCTGAATCCTCTGTACGTATTTGTCAAGCCACCATCCATGGATGAGCTTGAGAAAAGATTGAGAAACAGGCAGACTGAAACGGAGGAGTCTTTGCAGCACAGATTGTCTGCTGCAAAAGCAGAAATAGAATATGGTATATATGCGTTTAATATCTACAGTAAAGATACGAAACAAGAAAATCATAACAGACTTGATCAAAATTACAGGTGAGAAGCCTGGTAATTTTAATATAGTAATTGTAAATGATAATTTCTCTAAGGCATATGAAAAATTAAAGGAGTTTATTGATACAGAGATACAACAATAAACTGATGCAGGTACAGTACATGATTTGCATGCTATGTACTATATGATTTCGAATCACTCATATTTGCACCTTCAATATTCTTGCAGACTGTTGAATTAATGTTTCCTAAAGGAGTACGTTTACTGAACTTTAGATCATAATTATTTTTGTATATCGTTACGTGGCTTATAGCGATAAGTAATTGTATGATGTGCTGAAAGAGGAACTTATATCTGAAGAAAGGGACTCGTGAATGAACTTAGGCAGATAATTTTATACAACAGTAAGTTGATTCTAATATTGAAGAGTAAATATATGTGTATACAAGACGCTTAAAGTCTTGTACGCGCCAAATTAAATTATAAAACTTCATAATGATACTTAACTATACACACCTATAAAACGGAAATTAGATACTCGTGTGGTTTCGAATAAAACCATGAACAGAGGAGATTTGGGAGACATAGAATATGAACATAGTCCGTTTTAGAACAGTACTTTACATAAAACTATAGTTGTCCATAAATTAACGTAGACCTTCGTTAAATTATTATATTGATCTTGCAGCTGTATAAATTAAACTCTTACTTTATACGACTACAAACACACAGTACAATAATTCGACTTTTAAATTGATACTAATTGCCTGACTTACTTCGTTTCGTGCTGCTTCTCATTTTTCTAAGTGTACAGTCTTCGACGTAAGAGTGACGTATGTACTTTACCGTTCGTTCGAAGGTCTTTTTTCATGCTACGTGCTCGTTGACCAGCTCAAAGGGGGAAAAGAATTTATTTTTACATGTGCGGAGCGATCGAAGATGAGTGAAAGCGTTAGTTATATGTATGTATGTATGTAAATATCTTCGACGAACGTGTCCCCCAGCTGCGTAAGCATGAAAACTAAGAAAACCTGACACGGTATAGGTCTTAGTGTGTTGTATAATAATTTCAGAAGCCAATATATTTATTTCCTCGATTTCTGCTCTCCGGAATTCACCGCATTGGCTTCCGAGCGACTCAAATGTTATTCTCTTCCGCGAGTCTTGTTGTTCTTTGTTGACTTTGCGGCTGTTTGAACAGCAGTACGACGCTAGACCCTAGTTGAACGTTTTAACGATTTAATACCCAGTGAATAAGTATGCGCACGAGTGTTAATTCCAATTCTCGCTGTCGCGCGACGAGAAACGATTATCACGGCGAAAGATATCCGAAACACAAAGGGCGAGGGGAGGAAGGGAAGAAGAATCGGATAATTAAATATAAATATTCTAGATGTAGCTAACTGAGACTATCCACCAAACGAAGTTGTGTTCCAACTCATTAACTGATAAGTTCTATCGTGTCGATAATATAGGTGTCTCATCCGAGTATAAAATAAACGACAAGCGAACGAGAATCGCACGGACATTCCTTCGAAGAATATTCGTTTCAAAAGCGGGGAAGAGCGTTCCCGCGTAAACGTGTTGTTACGAGCACCCGCGGAAACCAAATATTTTCCTAAACGCGGTTAACTACTTGTTAATACATGTGCGGTTTTATCGTGTATCTCATTGACGATGAATACGAAAGTTGAAGTAGGAAGAAAGCGTAGCGATGCATATATGTACACGTTGTTAGCGAACATTGTACCATTGTTGTAGCATAATACATTGAATAAACATTTCAGACAACGTATCACTGTTCACGGTTTACCGTCGAGACTCCGGCGCCTTCCAAAACGTCCCCAAAAATTCGATCGAGAAAGACGTTCGTTTACGGTTAAGCCACTTATATTCCAAAGGCGAAGTAGAAAGGACAAAAGCAGGAAAGAACCAAACGGGAATCAATTTCAATAGAACCCAATCAACGTCCACCTCGCCGACTACATCAGCGCAGAACCACCGTAATTCCATAACGCCAAATACGATAAGCATCCTCGTCAATTCCTCCATCAGCCGATATCCTTCAGTTGCCCGACAATCAAATTCACGGAGCCTCGACGTCCTCTGATAATTCACGACTGATGACGCTTCGAGTAATCGCGCTTCGGCCATTCGCCGTGGTGATGCCTGGTCTTGTGCCTGGGCACCTCGCTGACCTCGATGGACGTCACCTTCACGTCCTGCTTCCCCTCTTGCTTCCCGATCTCCTCTTGGATGAGATTGTCCCCGTAGTTCCTGGGAGCAGCCTCGTCGGTCGCCTCTTTCTTCGGAGCTGCGCTCTGCGCTTCGTTCTCGGCCACCACCGGTTTCTTCGAGAAGATATAGTTGATCACCTGGGGTCTGGGTGCGAAGATGTTCTCGGGTGGATAGGGATCTTTCAGCAGAGACGCTGGGAGCCTCGGCTCCCGCGGAGCTTGGTTTTGATATCGGATCGGCCCGAAGCTCGTCAGAGTGTCTCTCCCCGCCAGATCGCGGGCAGCCAATCTCCTCGCCGCGTCCGGCATCCTTTGATCAGCCGACTGAAACGGTTCCTCCCGGATTTCCTCGTACAAGTCGCGGTTGAAGTCACGTCCATCCTTGAAGGAGTCCGACAAGCCCGGCCCAATTCCTCGGGCTGACCGCTCGATCCCGTATCGCTCCTCCGGGACGACGATCCTGCGGCGATAGGAGGGCTCCTGGTACTTGGCGCGGTCCAGGTAACTCTCGATCGTGTTCCAGTTCTCCAGATCGCGGGAGATCGCGCGTCTAGCCAGGTTCGATATCTCCTTTATGTCCAGAGGCTGGCTCTGGGCCTGCGCGGAGAAACCGGCGTCCTGCGGAGGACCCCTCGCTTGGTTCAACGCGCCGCTCAGTCGAACGGCGCTCTCTGGGTACGCCAGTCGCTGCGACGGCACCTGGTACGTCTTCTCCAGGACAGCCTCCCGGTCGAAGAACCGCTTCTCCGGGTAACTGCCGCGGGACTCGTCGCTGCTGTCCGGATAATAGGCCTCGTAGAACACGGGACCTCTGTCTAGGTCGTAGCTCTCGTAGCTGCGACAGAATTAAAGGATTATGCGACCCGCGCGGGCTACGGGAACTATGCGGAATTCAATTATCCCTGTAGACCAGCGTGAAATTAGCTTGGATTTTCGGACGGACGATTGTTTCTTGTTACGATCTCGAGTTGATTTGCTGTTAGAGGATTGCCTGGAACCACCGGGATGGTTCGCAGGATAATTACTGTTAGAAACGCTGGATTTCGATCCTAGCACGGTTATAAGCTACGCGGAAGTTCCACTTTTATGAAATTTTCGTGAAATTGTACTTTAATATCCTCCCTTGTTTAGCGGAAACGTTCTTTAACTACTGCGCTCGTCGATTAACTCTCGGACGCGCGGGTTCGTTAGCTGTTCTATGAAACGAATTATTTCGACTCTTCAGGAATTTCGCGTGTCCCGACTTCGACGCGGCTCAGCAAGCGAAACTCGGTTGCCGTTTTTCGCCTGAATATGATGTTGTGTCGAATACTCCGAAGGACCGCGATTCGATTTAGCTACCGATGTTTTTGCTCGAGCGTGGGCGTTACAACGGTACGAAGACGGAACGGTCTGGGATATGAAATTTCATCACGTCCGCCGTACTTTCGTTCGTCTTTCATTCTTCCTCGGCGTTGAAACAATTTTCTGCTCTGGATATTGCTACCGGCCGAAAGGAAACTGCGCGAACTTCTTTGGGAGTCGAACGGAGGTTCCTGGAGTTCGCGGGGCTATTTTCTGTTCTTCCAACGATATTGCAAGAGCCGCCGGGTTGCATTAATTTCTTAATTCCCAGAGGATATTTCGTCCTCGCGTTTCAGCTCCTCTAAAAACGATCGCGTCGCTACGCGGCCACAGAGAGGCGAACGTTAAATACGTACCGGTGTACCTCGGGGTTCCAAGCGTAGACGGATGATATTCCTAGCAGAAAGGAAAACACGATTAATTAACCGAGGCGAGGAACCGGGGAATTTGGGACGGTTAGGTGTGCGTGCGCTGCTGAGCAACAGTTTGGGGTTACATTCTAAATTGAAGCGGGCAAACAGACATTTGTGCCACGAACAATCGTCAAACGACTGAGTTTGTTTACGAAATTCGAGAATTCACAGTGACGCTAATTGTCCTCGAAAATCGACTTTGAATTACGATGGCGTACCGTGTTAACATTAAAATCACCCGGCAACTAGACTGATTTACTAACAATCGCTTGCAAAGATTATAAAAATAGATCTCTTAAGATATTCTCTTCGCTACAATCTTCCGGTTTAGATGATTTCTTTCCTAAACGCAGTCCCTATCTTAACTTTAAGTTCTATCTTCCGTTAGTCACGCTACTGTTAAATATTGTTTATTTATAGTATAAATTCTTAACACTCAGAGTGCACTTATACTTAATATAGTCAAGCCACAGTCGATGTAGCACATATTTATCCCCTAATTTCATTCTCTCGCGATATAGAGCAGTAGCTGAGTAATGAATAAAAGAATAACGAAGAAAGAGGTGTTACGAAAGAATAACGAAGCAGGGAGTGCAGATGAGATTCGGGTTAGGTCAGTGTACGTACCAATCAAAACCGTAATCGCTATCGTGGCGAGCAGACACACTTTAAGAGCCATGATCCTATCCCGGAGCGACGAGAACTGAGCCTCTGGGAGGGACGTGTGCGCGTATTTTCAGATCACCCGAAAATAAACCGTCGTTTCCTTCGGGGCCTCGCTGACTAATTCTCGCGCAGAGAAAGCCGCCGCTGGAAAACTTACGACGCGTCTCGCGAATACAAGGGGCGAATTATTAACCGGCCCGGCGATTAACAGCGGCCATCTTGTCGGCCGGCCGCGTCGGGGGCCCGCCATCTTTAATTCACCGCATTGTTCGCCATCGGGGCGCACAATTCATAATATATACTTACATAAATACTTACACGCTCCGGTCGAAACGGAGTCGGACGTTTTTACTTCATTAAAAAATTACTGCGCAAACCTGATAGCTTCGTTTATGGAATAATCAAACGGGAACGCCGCGTTTTAACACAACTACCGAGCAAATTGAATTAGTCTACGTATTACTAAAACAATTTCTTTCGAAGTTTCTTACGGAAAGATCCATTATCTTTTCAATGATTGCGAAAGAACAATTTAGGAATTGTTCATTTTGATCTATCCGGCAGTTCCAGTGTAAAAGTTCAAATATCGCCGTAATGAGTTTACAGTCGGCCGAGATTTTCATATCGCCGTTATTTGCCGAACGGCCGTTCGTTTAATATTCCCGTGAAATTTAGTTAAAAGTTCGATTCGTTCGACTGTCCGTTGCGCCGGGGCACTCGAATATTCTGCAAACGGAGGGAAACTGCGATTTAATAGTTGCTCGTTCACTTACGCGCCGCCTCTTTGTAACCGTTCGTTTCCGCTCGATTCTAATGTTGTATGCGTTATTTCCCTGTACGCAGCGCGAGCGGCGCAAAGTGGGCTCGATGAAAATTACGTACGCTACGGGAATATAATTTATTTATTAAACTGACGGCTTATTATAAACGCGCCCGCGCACCGGTAACTCGATTGCTCGACGGAGTCTCGTCGCTCGTTTCTCGTTCGCTCCCGCTCCGGTTACCGTTGTTGCCGTCGTGCTTCACCTTTTTTCTTCACGCCGCTATCCACCGGATACAAATCAAATCTCGCTTCCAACCGGGAACAGAGTGACGCGCGCAGAAGCGGCACACTGCGCCGGAATATTATTTAAACGCGCGACCTGCCGCTGACAAATTCCGCCGCCTCCTCGCCGCAAACCGAACGGAATCCGCGATATTCCACCGCAACGAACCCGTTTTCATCGAATTTAACGCGTTATTCCTATGAAGGACACTCTTCTGAACGAACACGAAAGTAAAACACGGGATTCCAACGCGGAGAAGAGCTCCGTTTGTGCGCCGCAACGATCGGTCGACGCTAGGTTCGCGACACTAGGTTCACGAACATTTTATTCAGCATATACATCGATGCATCGATATCCGTTCGTATAGATCTCCGAAATTATAGGTTTCAAAATGGATAATTCCATGTATATTCGCGTAATCCGTGTCAATCGAAACGAACGTTTGCCGAATAATGTTGGTAAAATTCAGCGTAAACTCCCTCGTTAATTTTCGCTCATCCCCCAGCGAGCGTATGTTTCACGCGTTTAAAGCGGTTAGATTATCGGAAAATAAGTTCCGTCCTGTGCACATAGTTTCTCGTTCAGACTCTCATTTCGAATTTATACATTCGATCTCGTTTCAATGCTTTCGTCGTAGCGGGCGTGGCAGGACGGCGAATGAGAATTGAATTTCCTGGGAAATCTTCTGGGCTCGAGAAGGGTTTTATGGGCGCTGAGGGCGTCTTTACGAGGTCCTCCGGATTCTAGTGGCTGCGGCACTTGTAGAGGAATTCTGGTATTTCGGATCTAAGGTCTGGGAATCACAGGAAGGTCCTCGCAGTGTCTCTTGCATTCAAAGTCCTGCGAATCCTAAAGCCTCGGAGACTGTGAAGAGATCTTCGCCCGATGTTTTGGATTTAAATGGGATCTCGAGGATCCTAGAGCCACGGAGACTACGAAAACATCTTCGCACAGTTCTTTGAAACAAGAAAATCAATATCGATGAAATACGAACCAGTGGATTAATCGCGATTTTTTATAAAAGTATCTATTTCTGTCGAAAATGATAAGTCGGGTGACCTGTATTGTGCTCGTAATCAATGTACTTCTTCCAGAGGTTTTCATTTGGGTCCCAAAGGATTAAGATGGCGTTCCTGCTACTATGACGTAAAAATCCGCGAGTAATTCCAGGCGAGACACGCCGGAATATAGGACGGGAGCTGCCCAGTCACACACAAGAGTCGAGTACGCAACGTATACCGAAGCCCTTTGGCAACTTTGCTACTTTCGGAGCCGCAGCGTCGACGTCGTCGAAAGCAACGGCCACAGAGGAATCCGCGGGACTCGTATTGCGGTATGCCGTGTCGACCGCAATGTAAAACAGCGCGGAATTCTCCGAAATTACCCTCGAAATTCTTGGCGATTTCCGAATTGCCTTTTTCCATAAACACGTGTACCAGTCACGAGTGTGGCGGTTTATCCTTTTCCTTGGATAACCAATATTCGCCAAGTATTTCGCGAAAATGAAAGCAACGCGCGATATTTCACTTGAACATAGTTTCATTCACTGTAACATGGTATTTGGTATGTTATAACACTTAATTGAGAATAATATAATATCATTTGATGTGTAGTAATTTAGTTGAAAGCTCTACGATCAACATTGTACAGATAAAGCATCGCGGAAAGTGCGACGAAACATTTCCGGTGCCAAACATTGTTCCTGTTTACCGATTCAATGTTTCCCTGGTTCGCGATTGGCGAGCGTTCGGTAGAGTTTCCGATTTTCCCGAACATTTTCGCGTTTCTCCGTATTATTTTAATAATCGACAGCCGTCCTGAGTACCCGCCTCGCTAAATATTCATTCGCCTGTTCCATTAATTGCAACGGACGGATTATACGAATGCACTTCGCGTCCGCCGACAGCCGCGGAGTGGCTCATGCAAAAATACATTTTGTATGCGTCGCTTCAGCGAGAGTTTCCTCAGGGTTCTATCGATCAGCGCTTTCCTCTCGGTTAGCTTCCTCGAGTGGATCGTACCGAATCGCGGGCACGATGAAATGCTCGCTGCCACTCCGGTGTCCCCGGTTCGAAGTATGTAACTGTTCAGCGGGAATGCCGAGGGAAATATTAGGTCTACCGGGAAGTTCTCTCCGCTTTCGAATGAAAGGAAAATAATACATTTCCGATAGGGTAATTCCTATCATTCCTATTACGATAATTGCGCCTGTTACAGTAATTGCGACGGCTCTGCGGTTCAGATTGCTCGAACCCGGAAATATTTAGAATTTTAATGAGAATTTAAAGTATTTGAGAATTTTAATGAGAGAATTTGAAGTGCTTGAGAACTTTAATGAGAGACTTTGAAGTATTTGAGAATTATGATGAGAGAATTTAAAATATTTGAGAACTTTAATGAGAGAATTGAAAGTATTTGAGAATTATGATGAGAGAATTGAAGATATTTGAGAATTATGATGAGAGAATTGAAGGTATTTGAGAATTTTAATGAGAGAATTGAAAGTATTTGAGAATTATGATGAGAGAATTGAAAATGCTTGAGAACATTAATGAGACAATTGGAAATGCTTGACAATTTTAACGAGAATTGAAAACATTGGGCGATTTTAGTAATTTTTTTTAGCGTCGCACTGAACTTTGAAACGTTGCACCGGCGATTCGTCGACGACACTTGGAGGGGTGTGGAAATCCGGATCGAACAAATCAAATGCTTCTTTGAATAGCGATCCCCTGGACAATTGCGTAAGCGACGCTATCTCGTCGAGGTAGGAAATACGTGGAAATTTATTCAAAGTGTCTGTGGCCAGATACCTGGAAGCTTCGTTCTCACGTTTGAATGGGTGACATAATTATGTTATTATTTAGGTAAATGCAGCGTATAGTATATTTGAATAGCTCATTAAATTAAACAATTCTTTAGACGAACGCAGCGCACAATAGTCGACTCGTTTAATGCAGTTCTCAAGTTTACTCAACAGATAACGACAAAGGAACATTCGGTGTCTAGTTTCTCTTGTTTCGAGGATGAACTGGGACTCAAAATCTAACTTCACGAACGATGGGATGTCGGAATAACTGGTGCAACCGGCAGAAGGGTATTTCGCATGCAAAATGAAGGTGAAACTTCAGCACCTTTCGACGCGTTGCTTCTTTTCTTACAAGTGGAAACTTCATGTGATGGACAGACACGAACGCACAATTTTATGCATCTAATATATTTTCTAAATTAATATTTTCTTCATCGCAATATGGAAAAGAATAATATCAAGGTAACAAAATAATTGATCTTTCCCGATGAACTTTATCGCATTCCATTATGATCTTTCTTTACAAGTTCCATTACAGTTCGATTCGAGGTCGAACTTCATTTGTATACAAATCCTATTATCCCAACTCTATAAGTCAATTACCATTTAACAGATGCAACTCAACAACTTCTCCTTCGGGAATTAAAGATGGCGAACGAACGAAATCCTCTTTATTCACAATAAACTCCCTCACGTTCCGTTACGACCTCTTATAAATTTCGTCGCGATGCAACTCGTAGCACGCGAGTACAACTAGACTTTACCTAGCTACAGCTCCATCCTCCAAACTTTCTAAGCGAATTATCCGACGAATCATACTCGACTGCAATGCCAATAATACAAACGCAATCCGACGCCTGCATCATGGATGCGCCTAAAGGTACATTATTCCGAACAGCGGGAGAGTTCTATCTTTGTGAATAACGTATCGAAACAGAATCGCACGGCATGTATTAGGGTGTCGTTGTAAAGTTGTCGCTGTAACCTCCAATTTCACGGCGAATTCGGTTACACGTAAGATTTGTTAACGTTCTCAGAAAAGTTTGACCTTTCATCATTTAAAAGACGAAAAGTACCGACATTTGTCTACTTGTCACGCGATGTAAAAATCTCTGGAAGAGATGCGAACTTAGAACTCAGGGTTGTAACAGTAGAATTCTCTCGCTTTGCAACGAGCCCAAGAACATCGTCGTACGATCTCTTTCCACGAAGTTATGACAGTTTCAAACGTTGACAATCCTCGGAGCGTACGAATTGATTTCGGTTAAAAGTATGTTCTCCCCGGACACGGTTTATTAATTTGTTTTCACCTCGGTTAGAAGTTTATATTAATCGAACAAAATTGATTTAAGAGAAGCTTCGCTTCACCAGATCAAAACCAACTGCCTGATCGCCTCTCGTCGACCCTGTGACCCCAGGGCTCGATCATCGGACATGGAATTCCGATCGCCCGATTATCGCGATCGTGTCGGCGACAATGGGACCCGGGAATCCCGGGAAATGGACATGTCCTGACGGGAACAACACCACGCGGCGGCCGTGTCGGTGAAAATTTAATGAACGATGACACGGTCATCGATGCCGGCACCGATACCAGAGCCCGCTTCATGGAATTGCGATCGAAATTCCGCTCCGCGTGATCTTTTGCCGCGTTTTAGCCGGGAAATTGATTTTTTTCGGGGATACCGGCGATTTAACTGCAGAAATTTGGAGTAAGCAGTGCTTGAAAAATTGGAATTCGCATGAACATTCGGCCCCCAGCAGCGATAAATTGGAAATAACGGAGACTTTCGGTTCGAATCGCACTTCGGAAGATTCCTTTACTTCCGTTTCGAATTTTTAATCGTTCGCTCGACTCCTTGATCCTGTTTCACTCGATCGCCGCACGAAGACGCCATTGATGCGGCGAGAGCGACTTGGACGTTCGTACGATAAATCAGATTTAATTAACGTTACGTATGTCATCGTGACCCTCAATTAAAATCGGGATCGCGAGCGGATCGTTCGCTGCGCGAAAAGTTATTAATTAACCGCCGGTAAAAGCGACTGCAGAATTTTACGGAACGAAAACGCGGCGTTCTGGTGTTGGCTAAACGAATAAAGTGACATCCGTGTCGCTGGCAGCGCGCACGGCGGTGCACGTTTAATTATAAATAATGTGAATTATAAATACAATTATTACAATCACGCGGACCGGCACAATAATGTAGTCGGAGTTGCGAGAATATTTATCACGTTTCCGCTAATTGAAGTGCGCGATATGGAGTTGAGGAAACGTTTGCGAACTCTAATTATCCTTTGAGGACGAACGTCGTTACGTTAGTGACGAGCTTTCGTAATTGGAATATAAAGTTGTTAATAAACAGTTGAACGGTTCGAGCGGTGAAGATGAGTTTCATTCTTCCTCAGTATTTAGAAGATTCACGTATAATTTCATTCTTTTCGCGAGAGTTTCGCGCGTTTTAAGGAACCTTCGTAAGTTTTCAAGATTATTGAAGTTTCTTCAGAAAAAGAGCAATTCAACGAAGCTGATCAACTACAGAAAAATATAAAGAAACACCGAAACATTCAAGTTGCTTTATAGAAAGAAGAATTCAGCGAATGGTGGGAAATTCGAGGAAAGAACATAAAGAGAACAACTCGGCGAACGTTCTAAACTACGAGCGACGAATAAAAATAAATAAAAGGAGGATAATTTTCAAGTTTACCCAGTCCCCCGCGGAAAAACGACATTTCGCCGAGGAGTATCTATAGAAGCAACATTAGCGAAGGTGAAAGAAAAACAGAGGGCGAGATATGAGGGGCGGAAACGAGAGGTTAGCCGAGTGCGTCATAGGAATTAGGGGACGGAACGAGCAGACCGGCTCGTTTCTGCGCGCAATTGTCCGGCAACGTCCGAAAGCAACAATCCTCGACTTAATGACCTGTCACGCGACTGACATGGAGGAGCCCGCAATTGTCATGTAAACGTTTCCTCGATTTGCTCGGGGCAAACGCGGAGGACACGGAAAACCGACGCGAAACCGACGCAAAACCCCGGCTTTCGGCTTCCTGGAGGAAGCTTAACCAGAGAGACGGAAGATCCGGTGGCAGTTGGACGGCAGTTTCTCGCGCGACGCTGAACGCTCGACGGAAACGAAGGTGAGACATCCGGGAAACGAACCCGACGAAATTTCGCTAACTCTTCGCGTTGCGAGGTAACTTCTGGGCAGTGTCGTTCGTCTGTCTTCGACCCTAGAACGGTAAACTGTCATGTTTTCGTTGATATTATTTGATTATCGGTTTGATTGCTCATTAATGGCGGAGATATGAACTTTGGCAGTTTGTTGTGGATTATACAGAGATGGGTAAATTGGAGTATTGCGAATCGAGCTATGTAATAGATGAGATGTTCGCTTTGACGAGAGATTGATCCGCGCAATGAAGAAGTCGGCTGCAACGAAGAACTTACCGTAGTTAAATGTTTGCACCGCATATCAGATGCACACGCGTCGGATAACATAGTGCGTCACATTAAAGCAATTGCATTTATATCGAAAAAAGCATCGCTGCGACCTTATTGAATGATTTATGCAAGAGATCTCTGCGAGTAGCGAGGATCGCGCAACGCGGATGGATTAATTTGAAAATTAAATATTGATTTTCTCTGTACGTACGTTATCATTTTCGCATTACCCATTTCAATTTTATACAATCCGTCGCGAGTTTCAATAACATGTGCTAGCATTTAATATGATTCAGCGGAATTAATCTCAGACAGAGCGGCGTTGACATTTAGTTGATACGATCGCGATACGTTCAATTGGAATCCATTTAATCCGCCGCGATATCCCGATCAATACACGCTGCACTTCTGAACTCACATTTTCATCGAGTAATTTCTTTCCTTAATCAAGTGTTCCATCAGACCTCGTTAGCCCGCTAATCTACTGGTCCACTTAGTCTAATTACTGGCCGTATTAATCTTCGTCGAAAATGTTGCTCGCCTTGAGCTCCTCTTTAATGGAAGTCCGTAGTCATCTTCAGTATCGAAACAACCGAGTTCACTGGAGTGCTCCTCCCTTCGAATTCTCGCGCGCCTCGCGGCGAGCGTTAAAATATTCGCGCGTTTTCGCCGAAATGAAGACCGTTCGCGTTCCGCGAAATTGAATTCTCGTTAGAAATAATTAGAACCCCTCGTCCGTCTCATTTCCCGTTCACAGAAACAACCGACGCGGACTCCAGAATTTTCCCTCGGCTGCGCGCGCTCCCTCAATTTTGTCTCTTTAGCCGTGAATCTGCATAAATTCCAAGGTCCGCTAATTGCGGGCCGAGGCACGGTGAACGAAGAACACAATTTCAGCCGAGCCGGGACGAGAACGTTGTTAAGTAAACCGGAAAATAAACGCGCTATTGAATTCCATTGAAATTCTCGGTTTCCCCGTAGCGTTGCTTAGTATCACACACGTGACTCGCCGACGGTACAAAGCACAAGGGAAACAGAGGAAGCCCGGCTTCCGGGAAACCTTCGAGCGCGTCAAAGGTAACGATTTCATTCTTCCGAGTTTCGCGGAGTCATCGTTCAGTTTTATGCGCGGTTTCCGCTGGAGATGGTTGTTCCGCGACGAACGAACGAGTCGTGTGACTTGCCGAGGGCAACTTTGTCGGGGGCAAAATGGGGTTGGGTCGTTTCGTCGGTTTTTCTTCCTGGAAGCTGGAAACGCTGAGAAAGTCCCGCGACGCGATACACTGTGTGGTCACACACCAGTTTTCTGGGCGATACCTTAAAAAGTATGAATGACACAAACGAAATTGCTTCAGACTGTAAAGTATATAGCTAAACATATGGTGGTTATGTTTCTTACATCACGGGGATGTTACGAAGTTTCCTCAATGGCTGAAATCGAATACTGATTGTCGCTAATGATAATGTTATTAGCAACGTTGCACGGGAATGTTGAATTATAATATTACAAGTGCAGGTATCATTAAAATATTACCATTACACCGGTATCGCATTACGTCACGATATTAAATTTCACAATATTGCGTTGCAGCATTACATTTCATAATATTACGTTTCACCAATATTACATTTCGAAATTGCATTTCGCGGGGGCTCTCTTCCTCGAGAGGTCAGGGATATAAGTTACATCGCTGTCATCCCAAGCCATTCGTTTCAAACGTCACGATTTATCTGAGCGAGCGGTTAACCCTTTGAGATCGAACGTTACTGGAACGATTCCAGGATTCGACGTATAAAATCGAGAGCTTCGAAGGAGTAGTTTAATTATTCCGGTAACGACAGACCGGTATGCGCTGTTTTTTTCCAGTGTCTCGAATACGTGTGAGAAGTTCTAGTCGACGAAAGGTTGAATCGCAGCGGTGCAATAAGAAACACGCGTCTTTGCATCGGACACCCGTAGCAGTGCATTCGCAGTTCGTTTCTTACACATGCCTCGCGGCGGAATGAAAGGGCGCAACCTCGTTTTATCGCGACGGGAACCGTCGAACCGAGTTGATTTACGAGTGTTCCGTGTCAGGAGCCGTCTCCCCATCGATTCGGCCCGATTAGCCCTGCAGACTCGGGAAATTAGCGATCCTCCCCCTTAGATTCCGATCTGATGGCTTTTTTATCTTTATAGGCTTCCGGCGAAACCGTCGCCTGAATATTTATACGCGCGACGCCGCGCTGACAACTTCTCTGAGAGACAATCGGACGCCGTCGGAGCCTCGGCTCTGGTCCGCCATCCGCCATCTTGTCGCTGCGGCGCGGGACAGCGGCGAAGGGAATCGGCAGACGATAAATTAGTCTTTCCTTCATCGAACGAGTTCTCCTACGGAACGATGTTTGCAGTCCTGAAATCTCGTGGAACGACGTGAATATCGATCAGGCGGATCTATGGGGATTCAGATCACCGGAAACACAGCCGACGATGAGTTCCTTGTCAACGCGCTCGATGCTCTTTTGCGTCGCGATCCTGCTCGCGCGTCCACCAGCGTCACAGGGGACGACCTCTGTGTACTGCGGATTGCGCTGCTCGGGGATCAGGAGTCCTTTCTCCGCGCAGGAGATCGGGAATTTGAAGACGATCTTGAATTTCATCGCCGAGTCCCCGGAGTTCCGTCCTCTAACGTTGTCCGTGATCCTGCCGGAGTTCCGTTCGAGCTTCGTGGATATTCTGCTGCGCTACATCGGCGAGAACTCGATCGAAGCCTACAAGATAAGGTCCAGAGAACTGTCGCGGAGCCCGAGGTGGATGGATCGAGCGAGGCTCACCTGGATCATCGTCGTGAACGACGTCTACAGCCTGTACATCTTCATCTACTGGCAGCCCAGGCTTTGGAAGCCCGGAAATCAGTACCTGATCTTCGTCACGAGCAAGAAGGTCTCCGGACATTGGCGGAACGCCTTGAAGAAGCTGTGGAAGAGGAACAAAGTGTACAGAGCAGTGGTCATTCCGGCCCAAGACGATTTCGGGTGTTTGATCAGGTTCGCGCCGTTCGAGGTTCGCGCGGGCGACTTCGGTGAGATTCGGAAGCTGTGCTTGCAGAACGCTGTCAAAGGCTACAAAAGGCTACACGAAGACAGCGCTTGTTCAGAAAGCTGTGCAGACAATACTAGTTTAACAGCGTCCACGGTTGCCGCTGTCGATCCCCTGCAGAAAGACACGCGACTGTTCGAAACCTTCGGAAACCTGAACCACTACCCACTGAACGTGATCGTGTTCGAGTCGTTGCTGATGGGGTTCATGTACGACGATCAGCAGAGGCTGGTATTGACCAAAGTAGACGGGAACGTGGTCTATGCCCTGGAGAAAGCGCTGAACTGCAAGTTCCGGCTGACTCTGATGAAGAAACTCGACTTCAGGCGGGAAGACCCGTTCGACAAGTCCCTGCGGGAGATCGAAGCCGGGCACGTCGAGATAGTGATCACCGGCTTCTTCGTCAAGCTGTACACCAGCCACGCCGAGTTCCAGTTCACTAGCTCCATGTACGAGGACAAGCTGTGCTTCATCTCGCCGGACTCCGGGCTGGTGCCCAAAGCCTACATGCCTTTCCTGCCGTTCGAGGAGGAGTTATGGGCGCTGCTCATGGTGTACAACGTCTCGATCACGCTGCTGTGGTGTCTGTTGAAATACGTTAACCGTAGGTTTCAACGGACGGGGTCGACGAACGAGGAATCTCACACCGGAAACAACGAAGGAACTCCGGCGAGGCGATTGAAAGGGTCTTCGATGGATCCAGGTGGAATCGATCGATCTCTCGACAGCCGCGGATCGTTGTACGGGCAGCCGAGAGGACGCTTCGAGTCATTGAACAGGATCCCGAATTCCCGAGCAGATCCACCGGAAGTGCCGCGGTATCTTTTGAAGCTGTTCCACTTCGCCGAGCTTCTCTGCTACCCGTCGCAACGCGGCGACACGCCGGCACAAAGGTCCCTGCTGGTCGGCACCCTCTTTTTCGGGCTGATCGTGAACGGCGTCTACCAGAGCTGTCTGGTGTCCAGCCTGAGCAAGCCCTTCCACTATCCCCAGCTGCGCACCATCGAGGACGTGATGGACTCGGGGAAAACGCTGATCACCAAGTACGCGAACTTGAAGACAACCTTCCTGGACGACACGCCGACGGGCGAGAAGTTCGGCAGGATGATCCGCGTGATCAACACGCGGACGCCGACCAAGGATCTGGTCGCCTTCAAGGACAAGATCGCGATCACCAGGTACTACACGATGCTGCTCGGCGATTACGCGTATTACGACAAGGACGGGAATCCGCTGATCTACGTCGTCGACGAGTGCCCTATGAACTACAGGGCGGCTTACGTGCTGCGGGCCAACTCGCCGTACGCGGAGAGGGTGAACTCGCTTTTGCTCAGGCTGAACGAGGGCGGGCTGCCTGTCTTCTGGTTCCAGAACATGACGTACACGCTGAGGGTCAGGAAGATGAGGCGGACAGCGAAGAACGAGGAGAGGAAGATCACTCTGACCATGGACCACTATACGCTGACCTTCGCGCTGTTGCTCGTCGGCTTGACGATCTCCGCGCTTATCTTCCTCGGCGAGGTGTACACCGTTAGGAAAGCCAGAGCTAAAATGGAGTAGGATGGACCGGAGATTGGGCCTGATTGCTGTTTGCTGATTGGTGACTTCTAATTGCTAATTCGAAGGCTTCCGAGTTCATATTTCAATGCTTGGAAATCTAGGTACTTCAGCCGACTAAGCTAATCTTCCGCTTCTTAAAGCAGGTTTCTCAAGAAAAGAACTCACTTTGATTCTCCACGGTTATTTGCTGACATTATCGCTGTTACTCGCCGGTTCGACAGTTTCCGCGTTCATATTCGTCCGTAAAGCGTACTCGGCTGGATAAAGAACCCGATCCCGTGCTTCGCGAAGCGTGTTTTCGGCCGAGGAATCGCCGCCGGAGGATAACGGGGGATATTCCCTTCGCTATAAAGTGAAATATTTTACTGTTGCCGTAAAAGATCGAGGATTCCGTTACAGTAGCGCCGAGAGCCGTCGATTTCGCAGTTACGGTCGACATTCAAAATGGCGGCCGAGCACGTGGCGTCGCGGCACTCTCCGCCGCGAAATAAAATCTTTTTACGGTCCGTCAAACGTTGCGCATTATTCGATGGTTATTTCCTCGTTCTCGGGTTCGCGATAGCTGGTTTTGAATTTTACCTGCGGATTTAGCGTCGTCGGCCACAGAATCGATAGAAGTTTCTTTAATGTCGCTCGAATGTTTCCGTTTGAACCCCGATTGAACTTACAGAACGATTCTTCTTGAACTTCCATTTAACCTTCCGTTTATGAAAGTGAAACGAATACAAACGCATTGTATATTAACGTAAATTACGTGGAACGTGTTTCTCATCGCACAAACTATGCGTAGATTTCTTGGGTAGGCGAATCGATCTGCCGGGCAGTCGCTCGGCCACTTTATTCCGCGAGTGCGAAACTTCCCGATAATTATCCGGCGAAACAGTAATTACGTTTCGGGTCCGGGAAGTTCCCTCAAACTTCGACTGTTCTTCGTTGGGAACGAGCGCTTCATTTCTACGCGTATTTGGCTCACTTCGATGTTTCCGATTTATACGAAATACAATTAATATTCCTTTATCCGTTTCTCTCGGCTCTTCCACCTCAACCGAGCGGACAACGTTCGTTCCTCGCTTTGAGAACGGAACAGCTGTTTATCGTTCCTATCGACGCGACGCCCACCCTCCGTTTTATCTTCGCAGCGCAACTGTGACTCGTTGGAACACGCTCCTGTCCGCTTTTTTTATGTTTATCGTTAACAGCGACTGCCGTGTCATCGGAATTCAAGCGAGTTTTTGTACAGGCTCGAACATTAATTCTCGCGTTGACGCGCCGAACGTGAATTTCGTTGGAATGTCGAAGAAGTAAGTACTCGGAAGAGTGTAATGCCACTTTAAGAAATCGGTTGCGATCGATGAAATACGCTCACGAGGATCTCTACTGAAACGAACGTTAGTCGCGATCGCGTTAAGTTCCGATGCGAATTGTTTCATTCGAACGCGAATTGTTCACTCCGTCGCGTCGCGGTTCGGTGTTAAGCATCGTTTCGCCTGTCGCCTCGAATAATTCATCATTGTTCGACCTTCCGACCTGTCCCGTCGGCTCACGATGGCCGACGATAAACCGGCGCTGATAATTTATGCGCCGATGCTGACGGCTGACGACGTGTGAAATTCATGATCCCGTATAGCCGGGTTTGCATAATGCCCGCAATAAGTTACAAGCGTTCCACATAATGAAACTGGTAATTAATGGTACGTCAACCGTGTTCCCGGATAAGGGGGAACCTGTTTATGACGCGTCTGTTATCACGCAGAGCGAGGGTTCCTAAGACACACTCTTGAACGCTAGAAACACTGAAACTAGTATCGATCACATAGTAGATCGCAGATTTTTATGCGAATTCCAGCTTCTGAGAACATCATTGGAACCATTGAAAAACCATTGCTCGATGCAAATTTTCTAGTTCAACTTTGTCAACCATTATTCGTTTTCAATAGAAAATTACTCAATTTCTCCCAACGAAATCTCGTTTGCACAGAAAGAATAAACTTGAATGTAAATGAATCAGCAAAGTTTAACCCTTTGCACTCGAGAGGCCTTTCAGTCGATTTGATTTGACCCAAGAAGATGATAAAATCGGAAATTCAATATTAAACTGTCTACAATATATCAACGCATGGAACATCGAAATGAAATAGCTCTGTCACTGAGTTTATGCAAGGTATTTCTTTACGTTAGTAAAAAATACCATCGATGTTTCACCAGAAAATAATGAATATTTCCCGAGAAAAGTATTCCGTCGTAAATCGTTCGTGCCCGCGCGTGTCGCGGAACCGCGCATCAAGTGGCTAATAACGATGGGGAACCAGTGAAACCGGATCCGCGATTACAGCGCGATGTTAAACTATTTAATTAAGAAACGCGGGGGATCGCCTCGTGCCCGGAGGTAATCTCGCCCCGGGCGATCGAAAATTCGAGACACGTGCTTCGTCCCTCCCGCGCCCGGCGCTCCTCGTGAGTACAATTAAGTTGTAGCTATGCCGATGTTGCGGAAGTGCTCCTCTATCATTCACCTCCATTGTTCCGCGAAACGCCGGCCGGAATCCGTTTGAACAAATCGTTCCCCTCTAAGTAACCAAATCACCCCCGCCGAAACGGGAACTCGGCTCCCGGGAGCTCTTCAATCGTCCTCGCCGTGAATCGCTGCGGCGCTCGTCTCTCATTTCCAACGTTTTCCTCGAAAATATTTCAGCCTTTCGCGCTTGGAATGCGCGCTGCGCCGGAACGCCGCGTTCCAAGATAGTTGTTCCATTGTATCTGGCACTACCGAGTACCCTACACTGCACTCTGGAATTCACGAGCCCTTTGATTGCCGAGATTTTCGTAGATTCGCGAAAAATCCGGGAGTACTCTGGACGAAAAACATAGTCATCGAAGAGAGGGTTGCGTTCCGGTTAACCCCTTGCCGTACAATGACGAGTGAGACGCGCATGGATCGAAGCAAAAGCATTTGTTATTATCGATATATTATCTTAAAAGAAAATTTCTACGTGAAGTGCAGTGGACGATTTCTTTGCGTTTTTTCTAAACTGCTGATAGAAACATTTTGCACGAGCTTAGTAGCAAAAGTAAATAATACAGCAAGGGGTTAATTTTCAGTCGAGTATAATGAAACTTCTCCGCAATACTGATTGCACAAGTTGTTGGTTCTCACTTATTATTCGTCGATGATTCACTGGATGTTTTTTCTGTTACATATTCAACTTCCGACTGGTAATCCTCGTGAATTATGAATGGATCCGAATTTTTCAGCTGCCGCGTTTGTTTTTCAAAAAGCTCGTGAGTCAGCGCGTTACTGACGGGAAGGGGTGGATGGAAAACTAGTTTAAAATGCGTCACGCAGTGAATAATGAAGGGCATTTATGAAAGGTTGCTCATCCCCGTGAAATGGCGCGGCCGCGATAAGCTCGCGGATTTTTGCAATTAGCTTTCGAAAGCTACCGTATTTCGCGCAGCTCTGAATCGCTTTGTCCAGGAGGCTTCGGTAATTAGCTGAAAATCAACCGCTTTGTGGCCACGGAACGTAATTTCCCTGAATTCGTCTGCTTCCTGTTCGCGTCTTCCGCGGTCCCCGCAGCGGAAAATCACATCGGGATTTTAATTCATTTTCGTTTCGATCTGACGCTCATTGTGCAGTTAATGATGCTATTAATGTTACACACACTAGTGAACAATACGGTATTCACCGTAAACATACGTGTTCAATCAGTTTCGCGTTTGTATTATCGAAACGATCTTTTTCATCTCTGAACGTGGGTCGCCATTGTGACGCAAAATGGCGGGAAAATGCTTCGAGTCTAAAATTCATTACCATTAGTAATGTAAATAAATACTTAAAATTTCAATGTTCCTAGTGAACCTTCGTTGAATTCCTCCACAGTAAGCCTAATTGACACAGACTTCATAATTGACAATATCTTAGGAAAGCAAAGGAAGCGTGACAAGCGTAACAAGCGTAACAATGGCCGCCAGATGAACATTTCATTCGAAAGAACCGAACGGCATTCGCGTTTTTAAATCCGTTCGAATTCTCCGCTACGAATGCCACGGGATGCTAGAAGACAAAGAGTTAATTAGTCCGTATTAATCAGATTCAGCGAAGTCGGCCACGAAACGAGGCTCCCCGATCTTTTTTCCGTCCGCGTCCGACCGGGTGCGAAATGGGATCAAATGGCGCGGAACGGGAGTTCGCGAACGTATAAAAGGCGGGTCTGACATCCGATGGATATCCGAGTCGCCGAAATATCCCGCTCGCCGCGGAATTCGGTCAGCTTCGACGCTCGAATCGCATCCTAAACGTTTCCTCTGTCTTTTTGCCGGGAATCGCGTGCGAGCCGAAAATGTGACGTCGCGCGATGCTCGTGATGTAAACTGCAATATCGCGGGGCGGATCTTCCCACGTGCCCTTTAATAGAATTGCGAAATTCGTTTATCCGCACGGGGATTGGGAAATGCGATAGTTTATTCAAATATTTGTGGACTCTGTTGGGCTGACCTATGGCGTCGCGCGGATTTTTGCGTGGCCACGGACCGCGCTGTTTTCATTGAAAACAAGTTTCATTCGGTGACACGATCGTTACCTTTCACCCCTATTTTCATGCAAATATTCCGCTAGATTTAAATCATGTGTACGAATCAAATGTCAGCTTGGACGTTTTTTGAGAGCTGTAGGTCGATTTGATGTTGCGTACCGATTTCGGCTGATGGATTTACGAATGTTTTGATCTGTTTCGTAATTGTGCTGGATGGAAGTATTGTCTACGATTCGGTAGGAGAAGAAAAGCTTTTCGAACTTGTTTTATATCTGATGCACTACAATTGATGATAGAAAAAGGTTTAATATTGGTGTAGAAGGATCGAACGGCGTTATAATCTGTTTAATATGTTTGTCGCGTGTCTCGTACGATACTGTAGGGTAAGGGATTAACGTAATGTACTGTACACTATGGTGGCATGTGCAATAAAATTAGATGTCAAGTTCATGATTACGCGTACCACTGGATCTCTGATACCTTGGAATTGCGATGTCTTTATTATCGCAACCGTGAAGAGTCAATCCACGGGAAACAACGAGGAGAAGGATAGAGCCACTGGAAGTGTCGCTAATTCGAGACTTACGAGTATTTTTCCATCGCGCTGGAGATAAAAGGATAAAAGACGGTGTATCGCTTTTTTCTATCTACGGCTGTTTCGCTCCATTTAATTCTCCATTGATCCAGACAGTGGTTCGGGCCAGAGGTTCTCAAACCGTAGCTCGCGAGATATTTCGGAAGAGTTTACGTACCTGCTGCTCATCGATGATTTTGTTTGTCGAGCTATTGTTAATCGTAACGAGTTTTACAAATGGAAATTGAAAACAGATTTTGCCATTTCAAATTGCTATCTAGACATTCCCATTTCAAATTGCCATTTAGAAACTCTCGAATTTTAAATTGCTATTTTACAATTGGCATTTTGCCATTTCAAATTGCCATTTAGAAATTCTGGCATTTCAAATTGCTATTTTACAAATGGTATTTTGCCATTTCAAATTGCTGTTCGACAACCACTATTCATTTCACTACAAACTGCCATTCGAAAATTGCCGTTCCCAACTGCATCTCGGTCTCTGAGTCCGAGGAACCACTGGCAACAAAAGAGTAACAGTAATTTCCACGTCGTCTCCCATGTACGATCCACATTCCCCTCCTCGATTTGTTGTCGTACCAGCGGCCTCATCCACTTCTACGATCTCTAGGGTCACTGCTGGCCCGTCTGCGCTCGCAGATAAACACGACCGTGGCGGTGGCCAGGCCGACATGGAAAATCGCGAACGGGATGAACAAATGCTTGATCGTGATTTTCTTGTGGTCGATCGATTCCTCCCCTGTCGGCAGTGATTCCCTCTTAGAGCAAGTCATTTTAATAAGTCACATACAAAATACGCCCAAAAATTGAAGCCGTATTAGGTAACATTATTTAGAATATAGAAATGTTTTCAAACAATCGTTTCATTTAATTTCAACTACACTAATTCGATTTGATTGGAGTCACTCGATGTGTTACAGCACTTAACACGTTCCATGCCACTGAAACTTCTTTTCGGTAATTTCTATATATTCCCATATCCTTTACGTTCCCTAAAAATTTCTTCCAGAAATTCGCGTACCAAATATGGCACACGCGGCACAGAACGTGTCAAAGGTCAACCAAAATCGGTCGTTTCCCATGTACAAGCTAACGGATCGCAAACAAGACGGAAACAGACGAGAAATGAGCAATGAAATGCTCGTTCCTAGGGCTAGCCGTCGAATCGAATACTTATGCGGTACCTGCAGGTGGGACGCCATTAGTTGTCAGCTGCCTGTTCCATTCGGGCGTGCCTCGGTACCATTTCCCATAGAAACCGGCGTTGTTTAGCCTAGCCAGGATGCTGTTTACCCGGCCGCGGAACGGCGAACCTGAAACAGAGTTTGTTTGCGTTCGCCAGCAGTCGGCCGACTGACACCGTCGGTAAACCACTGGCGGACCGATACCGAGCTACTCGACTACGTACATGGGTACTTACATACTTCTTGTACTCTCGAGTCGATTGTTTGAACAACGTTTAAGTGCCTTGTCGTGGGACGAGCGTAGCCGCGTGAGTACATTTTAATTAGCGACTTTATTTGATTAGATATAGATTGAAAGTGCTGTTGTTCTTTGATTCTTTGCACTCGAAAGGTTTTCAGAAGGTATGTTTGATATTCTTTGGGATTGATAATGGAGCTAATGTGAAATTAAGTGATTAGAAAGTAACTTGTGGGAGAAGTTAGGTAAACTAAGATTTGATTAGAAATACATTGAGAGTGCTATTGTTCTTTGATTCTTTGCACTCGAAAGGTTTTCAGTAGATATGTTTGATATTCCTTGTGATCAACTAATAAGGAGCTAAAGAGAAATGAATTGATTGAAAAGTAACTTATTAGAAGAGTTAGATAAACTAAGAAACGAAGCTGTTTCATTTCAACACTTCGGATTATCTAAAGCTTAAGTGCAAAGGGTAACACTCGACGTTGGGAAATTGTAGATTCTAATGTGAAATCATTCTTTCGTATTGTTCTGCGCGTTAATCCGTTCTAGACAGGTTCTTGCTATATATAGCGAGCAAAACAGATCAGATTTCAAAAGACGCGTACCGAGCGGAAAATTCAGTCTTCTAAAATTAAAATTCCCCTTCGATGTTGCGCGTTGTTCTCGAAAACTATAGTTAGACTAATGAGCGAAGTTGCACGGGAGACAGAGCGCTGACCTTTGGTTAGAACGTAAGCCAAGATGTAGTTCTTGGGGCACTCCTTAACGACGTGCAGCTGCTCCCTGTGGTACTTGTCGAACTTGGAAGGCAGCGTCGTCAATCGATGCAGGTACGCGGCGTCTTTAGCGCGGAACAGTCTCCTGTCGATTTCGGAATCGTTCGCGTACATCATCCTCGCGTGCAGACGTTTCAGCACCGGCGACGTGTCGTCCGTCAGAGCGTCCTCGATGATGTCCCTCGAGTTCGTTAGGATCGCTAGACCTTTAACGAGAAAAAGACAAAAGAACGTTAGGGGAAAGTTGGGAAATTAAGTTCGAAAATTAAATTAAGAGAAGGAAAAATTGAATAGAAATTTAATGTATTCAAATCTATTCAAAGATTGAATAGGAATAATTGGGAAATATAGACACAATTGGAAGATGAAACTTGGGAAATTCAGTTGGAAAATTAGATTAAGAGAAGGGAAAATTGAATAGGAACGATTGGGATATAGACACAATTGGAAGATGAAGCTTAAAAAATTGATAAATTAAATTAGAAAGATAGGTAAGTTAGATTAGACCAGAATCGTTCTAAAGCGAAATGGAACGTTCCAGTTCAACGAAAGTGAATAATCGTGATTTTTCTTGCAACGATGGAAGCCAGAGCAAGCAGTCCCGTGTTTCCAACGAGATAAAGTATCAAAGGATAAAAATACATTTTTCTCGAAGAATCGGGGAAACAATGCCGAGAGCGTATGGTCGATGGTAAGAATTAGCGACCAGTGTAACAGAGAAGATCCGAACGGAGAGGAGCACGCCTTACGGTCGCAGAATTGTCGTCCCGAAGTTTAAGCAATTCCGTGACCGGAAGCAAGTAGTTACCACTCTTTTCGAGCTGCTCCAAAGTGTCGATGTCGTCGTAATAGTGTCGTTTGCTGAAGCTGGCCGCGAGCTGGGACGTGAATACTCCATTCAGAATAAGACTGAGCCACAGGCTGCACATTACGAATAATCTCTCCGGGAATCGGGCCGCATAGTTCTGAAAGGGCTGCGACGGCTGCAGCACAACTTTCGTCAAGTATTTGACGAGCGGCGCGAGACGGGAGAACGTGGCTCCCTTGAACCGCTTCAAACGCGATCCAGCGCCGAGCGTTGTTTCCGTTCGAGGCACGCTGTTAATTCGGATTAAGTTTAATGGCTATTGTATTCGAGACACGCTAAACGTTCGTTCGTCGTTATTCGCATTGTCTTGCGAAACACATCGCGAAGATGATATCGGTCTCTTTATTTTCCTCGTAGAAAGATGCAAGAAGAAACGAACATGCGTCTGCCATTTTCGTTTCTTTCTAAACGGCAGACATCAAAGTTCAGCGAAGTTTCATTTAGATCGTACTTCTGAAGTCGCCGAGACTACTGATATTGAATATTTTAGTGAAAGATTCGATATCAGTGGTATCAGCGATGTTATTAAAGCAAGAAAGAACGGCGAAACGCTCGAAATTTCAAAACAGTTAGCGCTCCCGCCGCACCGCGACACAAATACCCATAATTTCAATACTGACGGCGAACCTTTGATCGGTTTATCAGTGCGTGTGTCCCGGCCGCGGACTGTACCAATAAATTTCCCAATATCGCGGTCGTCTCATAAACTTTCCTTTGACCGTCGATGTACGTTAATTCGAGCCAGAACCTTTTGCCGTTCCATTGATTTTAATCGAGCGTTCTCTGCGTTCATCCGTTTATAACTTTTTCCCTGCCTCCGGCGAGGTCAAGGCTTCTTCCGGGAGCCGTCCTCGAAACCGCGGATCCTTCGCGTTTTCCGCGTTTCGACCGCGAGCTGGGAAGCTTCGAACCACTCAGCCGGCAATTTCCGTTAAAGCTATCAATCGAACGGCTGCCGAACGCGCGGTCGACGCGTTCCAACGCGCACTCACCCATGCGGAGGATATCCGCGGTGCGGACGGGCCGCAGTTTTTCTTTGATCCTTGGGAAAGCTTCCACCGACGCGCGCTCCGCTGCTACCGTCGTGCCCGACGCCATCGTGCGCTCTCTCTCTGCTTCTCAGGGTCGTGTAGATGGCGGCGATCACGAAGTGGCCCGCGAAGATCAGCAGCCAAGCGCCGTGGCTGAACGTGTTCACGATCACCAGATAGTCGGGGACGAGCGAGGCCCTGGGCACCAGGACGCACAGCTTGTCGCTGGTGACGGCCGCGGTGAACTGAATCCGCTGGGTCAGGTAATCCTTGACGAAGAACTGGTTGAAGGACGCGTCGGTCTGCTTGCGGACCAGGTGTCCGAGCGTGCCGAAGAAGACTCCGTCCTCTTCCCAGCCGTACCGCTCTCTCTCCGTCACCAAGACAGGCGTGACGTTCATCGTCCTGGTGATCTCTCTCAAATACCTGTAATCCACGCCGCCATAGTTGTTCCCTCGCTTGGTCATCGTGGTCGACTCGAAGATCGAGATCCTCAGAGGATACTCTCCGAAGCTTCTCCTGTCGTCGCCCAGCAGATCAAAGACGTCGGAACCGTTGGCAAGCTTAGAGTCGTTTCTGCAAGCAGCGCCGAACGGATCGTACCGAACGATCTCGTCGCCCGTGATGCCGACCAGCTTGTAGACGCCGCGGAGATTCCAGAGCCTCTCCGAGCAGCGGCAGAATTCGCCGAGGGGGATCGACGCTCCGCGATTCTCGAGGACGTAGGAGCTCTCGGGCTGCCAGAACGAGGCTAGACGGCTCGAAGTCACGGCGTCGCTCAGCTGATCGATGCCCGAGAATAACAGCAGCACGCAACTACTCGGATCGATCGTTCGATCTCCGGTCGACGAGTTCGTCGGGTCGACGGACATCAGGTGTTCCAGGGTGAGCAACCGGGCGGGAACGCTGACGCGAGCCAGAACCTGCCGGGGAACGTCGTCGGCGACGTGCTCGTCGAACACCACCGTTAGCAGACCCGTTCCCGCTTTGTTCACCCACTTCTCCAGGAAAGGGACAGCCACGGAATAGTTGCGCGACCGCTCCGGCTCGCGGAATTCGCACTCGGCCGTCTGCAACATGGCGGACGCCAGCAGCACCGCGCGGAATGCGGCGGACATCTTGTCGGCCGACGGCAGGACGCGCGCTGGAACCGAACAGACGTGGTATCAATGCTCGAATTTTTCGTTACAGCGATGTTCCATTCTCCGTTATAACATTCATTGAGAATGCAGTTTAATATGTTTTAGTTGGGATATTTGGGGAAATAATATAGCGTAGGCAACAGCGAATAACTTACTTGTTTTCACTAGTTGAAGTTTTTTAGCAATACATTGCTAACCTTTCGTTTTTGTTTCGCGAATAGTCGGATTTGGGTTTCTCGGGAGCTTTCCCTTTAACTGGTTTCTTACCTGTCGCCGGTCACGGCTAAAAGCGCCGGCGGTGGACTGCGCGCCCCATAAATCCAGATCTTAACAAAGTGCTGAAACGTGTCCAGTTTCGGTCTGAGCTTGCGAGACGACCGGCTGCGAGCTTTCGGAAGTAAACTGCAGCCAGGCTGAAGGGCTTGGTCGGTCCTATAATCGAAACATCGTATTGCGTTGCAATTAATAATTATTACTGTTGCTTACTACTGACTTCACTAACGAAGAAAAGAAATCTCAATCTGCTCTATTCATGATTTCTTCTTCTACATTCCTGTGTATAAAGGAATTTGAAAAAATCAGTTTTCAGTGTTAAATTACTGTTCGTCAGTACATTCCAATATTTTAATTAATTCGACGCCCGTGAAGAGCGGCGCTGTCGACCTATTAAATTTTTCGAATCGCGTCGTTCGACGGGCAAATCATGCTCTCAAATCATGCTCTGTTTTTTCGCTGCCTCGGTTTAATTAGTCGGGGCGGCGTCCAGTTCGTTAAGCACGGACGAAAATAAATAGCGGATTCCTTGGGACGTTCGCGACAGTTCCGCCGAAAGAACCAGAAGTTTCCGCTGGAAATCCGAGGGAACCGGACTCTTTAATATTCCTGTTTAACTCGTTCAACGTGGATCAGAATGTTTGACTTTCATCGCTGCGATTGACCTTCGTAAATCGAGAAGTACGAAGAGTGGGAGCCTTTCAGAGCTCAGCAATCGCAGAATAGTAAGAATATATCGATTCTTTCGCGTAGGATATTCGAGGACATTGCTTAGAGTGAATTTTGCCTTTCACATTGTCATTAAAAGGCTGCTTCGTCAGAGAATATTGCTACAAAAGTTATGCAATGCAATTTATTGAAGATACACATTTCGTTAAATTTAAAGTTGTTCGCTCATTGTGCTTAAGCGACACCGGACTCCGCTTGTTCGAAGCTCAGAAACGCTGCATGCCGGCACAGCTGATTGGCAAAGGGTTAACGAGGCCGAATTCAATGAAGTTTGCAAGATAGTTAGGGAGGGTTTATTCCCGCGTCTGCTTCATGCGGTCCCGGGAGACTTTGGTTGACTCGATTCACAGGTAACGGAGCTGATTTGCGATCCGCAACTCGTATCGGAAATTCTCTGTGTCCGTGGAAGCTTATCGGGTCAGGTAAATTAATCCGTTCTTCGCGGAAAGCCGCTTTCATTGGCCGCGACGGATCGCCTTTCATTTTCCAATTCAACGTTTCGTCGGGATACCGTGTTTCCCGCGGCACCTCGTTAACACGTTCACTTTCACGAAAATCTCGAGTGAACCTTCGTTTCGCGTATGATTTCTCGCAGCGACGAGGAATCGAGATGATCGCTGATCATTTATCACGATTCCTAAGCTACATTGTTAGGTACTTACGTTGTTTAACATTTGAGTTGTATTACTTTTAATTACATTCTATTCTGAACGAAGCTTTGGGAAATCATTAATAATTGATTAGTTTCCGGAGACTAAATTCTTTTATCAAATCGAAGATGATTATGTAAGCTCTGAAAGAATGACTACGTTGCAGTAAAAGATTGTCGAGTTTTGTAAATTTATGAGAGAAAGCTGTATTATCATTAATTATTAGAATGGCTGTACCAAAATTACTGGAGATCATTAGCAAGTTTCTACTTTCGACTTCCATAAGAAACCTTCGATGTCTTGTGCAATGAATGGGGAGAGTGAACCATTTACCATTCGTAAAACGGTACGTTCGCTACAAGCGTTGCCATTCCATGTTTCTTCGTCCGTGAATTACCGTTTGGTTTTCACAATGAAAACATTCCAGGGAAAATTCGTGAATATCGTTCGCAGGAATCCCGACCGCATCGGTATATTGGATTATTAATTAATGAACCGTGAGATTGACGCGTTCAACGGATATTGGAGTGTGCATAATTCGCAAATACGTGGCTTCACATAAACGCCCGCCTAATTAGCGTCGACCTAATGAATCGAAGAAGCCGCGGTCGACGAAGTGTCCGTGGTTGGAGCGATTTAAGCCGCATAAATACAGTTAAACGCGCCGTTTATAACTGATTAGGGGATCAGCTAATGCAACAATGCCGTTTCACGCCGCATTGACCGTTGCCCGATCATCTAATCGCGCGAAATTTCCTGATATCCGATCGCCGAATGATTTAGACGAAGCGATTACTGTTTTGAAGCGAGACAATGTTGCTGTAGAGCTGAAAACTGAAAGTTCCCTCCTGTTTCTCTCGAACTGATTAATTATTTTTATTCGATTTTATTTATGCGATTCGTGGTTCCCGGTTAATTACGAAAGCAACTGGTTTACGCATTTATAAACGCGAGGAACATGAAAATAACAAACAAACCTATCCGAGGCACCTGGCAAAATATTTGGACATCTCTATAAACGCAACGGATTAAATTAATGTTGATGCCTACCAAATTTTCGGATGGTTGAAATTTTCGGAAAATCCCCGTTTCCGTTCGTCTTGCAGTTTACCCGGTGGGAAACCGGTTCGCATGGTGTTTATTAGTGAAATTCACGGATAAACAACGTCCGAGTGTTCCAGTTTTCTCAGGAAATACGATACTTGACAAAATAATGCAAGCCACGTGTAAATTTAATGCATTTCGAAGCCAGGAGCATTCTGCCCATAAACAACTAAAAATCATGCATACGTTAACCTCCCAACAGCTGGCGGCCATCTTTGTTTCAGAGACGCGAGACACATCGCGTATTCTGAACTTAAAATATTTATCCAATTAAAACAAACGAGTTCCTTGTACATTAGAGACTCCTCCGTTTCACTGAACAAACCGGTACGAATAAAAAAGGTCGACGAGATCGCAGCGAGCGGCGGATTAAAATGTTAATCGCGAGGCGGAGGCGAGCCGAGCGACAAGATGGCCGGCCGTTATCGGTGATTAATGCCCGGAGGCGTGCACGTAAGCGTGATATTTTGTCTGAATATAATTCATCTGACGCGGACTTACGAAAGCGGCTGGATACGACTCGAACGAAGTTGAGCGATATTTCATCGGGCAGGCTCGGATCGATCCGGCGCGCTCGCGACGCGCGAAACGGCGGCGATTAATCATCGGCGCGAGCCGCGGGGAACGTCTCGCCGATTTCATTTCGGTCCGGGGACTGCGAATTGTTTCCTGTGGCCGCGGCGCGCGGGAACGAGGCGGAAACGAGCGGCAATGCGGGCCCGTTGAATATTTACAAGAGCCCGATTCAATTTTACCCCGTGGCGAGTGTTATTAAAGCGCGCCGCACCGACGTCGTCGTGCCGCGCGTCGTTGCGTATGCAAATCATGGGGGAGGGAGCGTTGGCGGTTTCGACGTCGGGAAAACGAACTCCTCGGATTTCCGCTTGCATCGTTTCAGCGCAAACATTGTTCACGAATCTTGACGAATTGTCCCGTGTCGCCTCCCGTTAGTGTTGCGTCGCAGTTGATAAAGTCGCTAGAGGAAAGAGGATTTCTGTGCTCGTTGCGAGACTATTCTTCGGTGTTCGCATTCGTTCGAAGCGAGGAGCTTCTGCGTCGGTGATTATTTCGATAACTTTGTATTCTTTCGGACAGGGACGCTATTGTGAACAGTATTATAAGAATAATACGGTGGTATCTAGTGTTCAATAGTAATGACATCAATAAAAATTGCGATAATATCTACTAATGATGCTATCACCACAAATACAATAATACAAACACCAAGAATAGCAACACTAAGACTAATACGTCTTTACGACGCCATCGAATAAAGTAAAATAGAGAGGTGATAAGGTGTTTCCGAGAAAACGTGGTATAAATGCGAGCCGAGGCAATATACCGCGCGCGTCGCACTATAAATGGCTAAGTCCGGCAAGATAGCCGCCATCATCGCGCCAGATCAAAGCGATTCTAATCCGATTAACGGCACAACTGCCGCGCAGCGTACAGTAACATCGCGAATGACGCGCTGCGAGCCTCGTTCGATGTAAATGATTCCGAGGGCTCGGCGAAATCGAATCTGACGATGGCATAAAGCAGCAGCATCGGTTCGTTAAGGCTCCTTTGAAGAATATCGGACCGCCATATTCACAATATTGCATCTTACGGACACGATATGGCCTCTCGAGCGTCTCGGCAACCTCGGGACCCGATAGGCGGCGACGTTACGCGCGTACGTTAACGTCGGAAGCTTTCAGACGCGATTTTATTTACGAGTACCAGACCTTATTTACTTCGCTCGCTCGCGCACGAAGAACGAATATCGGAGAGCTTCACGTCGCGAACGTCAGTCCATTCTAGAGAATATTTTTCAAAGGTTTGGCTAATTCTTACGACGATCTCCTCAGTTTTTCGTTGAATAATTGACGACTTTCTCTCGATTTTTCGTATAACTCGCCGGTACTGTACCGAAGTTTCGTCCCTTCGAATTGAACAGGAATACGAGAAAAGTGCTAGCAACCTGTATTTCTTCTCTGCTTAATAGCTTCCGCGATAAAAGACTCGACTGGGAATAATAAAGGTAAAAGGAGAAGCGAAAATATAGAGACGCGTTACACTAGTAACTCGAGAGGCTCCAATTACACGAGGATCGCGCGATTAAAGAGCGACGGAACGAATCCCGAGCAATGAGACTGATATTACGGTAACCGAATTGCTCGAAATTTCAATCATCGAACAATCGAAACTGATTCGCGCAACGATCCCCGCGAGACCCGAGGGAGCTGAAACTCATCATCTCGATCCTGTGTAGTCTAACTATAGGCGGACACTTCCATTAATCGAGGAATCAAAGTTCTCGCTCGCCTCGTTGCGAAACTGCGCCGTCCTCGATCGAATAATTCTTCTATTTCCACCGCGCCGGGCATCGACGTTAACGGAATCGTTACGTAAGCGAAAAGCAGAGAGATTTATCAGTGGCGTCGCCGTGTCAGCTGCAAGCTCACCGCCCCTAAGTCCCTACAGCTTCTCGTTCGGCCTGCGTTTCGCGAGATACACGATCTGTCTCACTTCTGCACTTCTGCAGAAATAGACGACAGCAGCCTGATTCGGATCACAACACTTTTTCAGACGTAAATGGGTTTCGACGGTGTCTTTCGCCGTGAAATCGTAGTTCCTGTTACTAACAATACTCTAGTGTCTAGAATTTAGTGGGTTTATACAGTTAGAGAGTTTGTATAGCTTATATAGTCGGAGTTTATATAGTTTTATGTACGTTCATACAATTTTATAGCTTTGTATATGGTTTTATATAGTTTAAACAATTTTTATATGGTTTTACATAGTTTACAAAATTTTTATATAGCTTTATATATCGTTTAAAATATTTTCATATGGTTTTATACAGTTTAAACATTTTTATATGGTTTCATATAGTTCAACAAATTTTCATATAGCTTTACATATGGTTTCATGCAGTTTAAAAAATTTCTATATAGTTCTATATACTTCTATATAGTTTTTTTCGGTTTTCTATCCACGTAAATACGTGATTATTATACAAAAATATTCCTTTGAACTCCTGCTATCGAAGAAAAATTTGAGAAACTGCCTAGCCGGAGTTTTCGAGCGCCGGTGGATACAAGAAAATAGAAACAGACAACGAAAGGAGGAAAAACTCACGTTCCTGTTGGAAATGAAGTTTCGAGAGCACTCTTTAGCCGGCGCCGTCGCGTCGACGATCAGATGGGAGATGTTCCGGATAGGTTTCTAGCCTCTCGAGGCGAACTTCGCCGGGACACTGAAACTTAGAGCCTGACTCGAGCGGACACTCGTGCCAGCCGTCGAGAATCTGATAAGTCTGTGGACATTAGAAACGGCCAGTATCGCCGGCATCTATGTTTGTGTGTGTTTTTTTTCGAATCGCGTGTGCGTTAGTTTAAATAGGATCCGCCGGATACGTTTCAGGCCGGCCGCGATACGGATCTACGTCGCGTCCGCGACACTTTGTATAATTTATTGCAGCGGCGATTGTTAATGGACGGTGGACTGGAATTTAGGGTGGCAATCGATGCTACGGAACTTTTCAATTTTTCTCGTTTGCCTCGTGGTTGAAGCGAACGTTCGTTACTTGTTTATTTTAGGTCTTTGAAGAATCTTTTGGTGAACACTTTTTAGGTTTTAGCGAGTCTTTTGGTGAATCTTTTTAAGCGTTTAGTGAGTCTTTTTGAAATACTCCACATTTTCTAACGAGATAGGAACGGTATTTTGGAAATTAGCCTAAAGAGAAATTACACATAAATCAAAGAACAAAATGTTTCATTTCAATATTCCATATGTCGATAAATTATAGGATGATTAATGTTAAATATCGAACTTTACAATTTTACATCGAATCAAGTGGTGACTGAGTCAAAGGGTTAACACTGTACTTCCACTCTGTGTATTTTATTCTAAATCGTGAAGCATTCAACGTGTTCTAATTTCCAGGATTTAAACGAACACCAGTTTTTCTGGTTTACTGTAGAATGAACGTCTGTTAAAGTAATATAGCGAAAATTGAGCAAGATTTCTCAATAACGAAAGAAAAGCCGGAAACAGTGCGAGGAGGAGATGTGTATTAACAAATGTGATTTCTTCTTTCTGCAATTATTAAAAATATAACGGATATTTCTCTGAGTAATTGTTCAAGAAATTGATTTGTCAATACGCAGACTGAAATCAATCGCAGTCTCGATAGATGCATCCTTGAAGTTGCTGCAGAGGAATTTCGAAAAGATAATTTAACTGCTCGGCATTAGTGTTAAACGATGAAACGTATAATTTAAGCTTCAACTGTTTGTTTAAGCAGGATAAAACGCAGTTCGCGGTATTGCGTTCGGAAGCTGCGAAATTTGAATTTATCATTCGACGTGTTTCACGTGAATGGAAGCTTCACGCGTCTCTGGCCGCAGTAGTATAAGAACGTTGTGGTCGGACGCGAGTGCAGCCTTAAAACATCGCGTGGGGAACGGGCCATATGTTTTCACGTTCTGAGCTTTAACTACACGTATTCTTTTTATAAATGACGGCGTTATTCATGCGCGGGACGCTACGAAAACTCGTCGCGAGATTTTCGGAAGTAAAAACCTGAATGAGGGAAATGAAAATTCGGTGAAACGAACTTCGGTTCTGGACAATTTTTACAATCACAGTTCTGAAGTTTCCTGAAGGGTTTGGAGATTGAATCTTTAATAAATCTTTAATAAATCTCTAACAAATGTAACAAAGATCTAGCTGACTATCACTGCACTAGATACTATTATTTATAACAGAAATGTTTTCAACTAATCACCGTGTAACTGAATGAACCATAATAATTCGATTCAGTTCAGAATCACCGGAAATCGTTAATAAATCTTTAATAAATCTCTAACAAATCTACCAAAGATTGAATTATATTATCATCTATTATCTATAATAGATACTATTATCTATAACATAGAAATGTTTTCAACTAATCACCGTATAATGAGCGAACCACAATAACCCAATTTCGTTTAGAATCCCCATTCCATGATATTCAACGTGTTAGACAATCCGACGATCGAGCAAATATCGCCCATAAAGCTGACTGTACATGGAATCGACGCGTCCCGTAAAGCCGGTGTCGATAAAACTCAAAGAATTCATCTGCTCGCGACGAGAGACCCACGCGATCTCGACTCGCGCGGAAGAAAACGCCGGAGAGAAGGAAAAGTTAGCGACTTCCGTCGAATCCGCGAGCGTTCGGCCGTGCGTTCCGAGGCGAAAGTTGTCGGAGATTAACTGCGAAGGCTAAATGTTGAGCAGTCGAGAAGTTTTCGAGGCACCGATGAAAAATGCATGCAGAAGTCGTTGCTGTGTTTTTAATGGGGGTGTTAAATATGCGAGCGGCCGCTCGTTCGCTCGCTTCGAGGAATACAAATGGGTTCCACGTTAATGAAAACGCACCCGGAGGACGGACGAGTCTCTCTCCTGGAAAATAAAGTATCGATTCTCGTTAAAAATTTCATCGTTGACGCAGAACGGCCGCGGGCTGCGCGTTCACGGTTGAAGGCGGCCGGGACACCACCCCTGATTAAGCCCATTTCGCAACGACGGCTCATTGCTATCGGGGAATTTTCGAGCGGGATGTGTTTTTAGAAGATAACGCGCCCGGCGTTCGCTGGCCCGTTCAGGTTTCGAATCAGTGGGCTCTGAAATGTCTTTGTTTCGGGGGAGAGAGGGAGATAGCTGGGAATTTATGTGTGGATGGTTCTTCGGGAATAGGTGGTTTGGGTGTTAATGGTTTTTAGTTGTTGGGAATGGTTATTAACCAGTTAACTGTGGAACTTAGGTGGAAAAACCTCTTGTGCGCGCAATAAAATAAAATGGAGCGTGTATTTACCAAACGCAGGACGAATACGTGGAGTATATTTTAATGAAAGATCAAAGCGAAACTAAGAATTACATGTTTATGTGAAGAAATAAAGAATTCATTGAAAGAATTGGTATCAAGCTTTACGATGATGTGTATATTCGTCGAACGTAGTTAACTGGTTAATAGCTGTTAATAGTTGGGAATGGTTATTGATAGTTATTAGTAGTTGGCAATGGTTATTAATAGTTGTTAGTAATTGGGAATGGTTATTAATAGTTATTAGTAGTAGTTTTGAATGGTAATTAATAGTTATTAGTAGCTGGTGATAGTTATTAATATTTAATTGTAGTTGGAAATGGTTATTAATAGTTATTAGTAGTTGGGAATGATTATTAATAGTTATTAGTAGCTGGTAATAATTATAAATAGTTATTGGTATCTTGTAATGACTCTTAATACTTATTAATGGTCATCAATAGTTATCAATAGTGATCGATAGTTAACAGTTAATACTTACAAATGATAACGTTAAAAATTCAATACATAATAATTACTAATACTGATTAATAGGTAATTAAGTTCCCTTCTACCTATCGGAGACTAAAATCTAATTCAATGTTTCATAAAAGGACTTTTAGAAAAGTTCTCTTCTGTAAAGGATTACTATTACTATTTTCACTATCTTCTTTCGGCAAAGCTTGTCGCGCGTTCATGTATTCGCAATAAAAATGGAATTGGGGGAAAGGAGAGGAATCATCTGGGAGTCGGATAAGTTCGAGTAATGAATCCTCCGACACTTTGATACTATTAACGGGACCCACACATGGGAACGGAGCCTGAACTTTTTTCGATCGCGGAGAGCCGTGTCGGCCAAAGAAACTTCGGTCCGAGACGCTCAGGTGATCTCGTTCGGCGCCGAAACCGACACATAATTGATTATTCGATTGAAAAATTTCCTTTTCAACGAGAAGTGTCGCTCTAACACTTTACTTATGGATATTTATTGCCTAGTCTATTGTTCCTAGAATTGCAATCAATCGAGATAGATCTGAACATTTATCAAATAACGTTCGTAAAATTCAATGATCGTCGAATCGACGTGTTCCGTGAATCTAACGTCAATCTAACCAGTGTGAAATAGTTGACGTCTCTGAAGTGATGTTTATTACTATTGCAATTATTGCGATCATTGCAATTCCCAAAGAAAACGAGATTCATTTCGATGAAATTCAAATATTCCAATTAACTATTAATCAGCGACTCGCCCTCGGTTTTTTAGAGGCGGCGATACTTAGCAAGGAGTTCCGTTTGGAAACGGAACCTAAGAATCCGCAGCGAAGGCTGCGAACACAAATTTCCCATTAAACTTCGCCCCGCATCCCGGAACAAAGGCAGACTTTGTTCCTGTTTGGTATTTACAGACTGTTCAACGCTTCGCCGCGATGCGTTGCTTCCAGCTTGATTCGCTGCGACGAGCAAGCTCGATGCATTAGCCGAATATCGATCGAGCTTATTACGGACGAATCGCGGATGTGTATGCACGCATCATTTTTTTTAAATCCTTTGCGGACGAATTTCAGCGAGATGAAACTTATATTCGTAACACTGAGTCGCGAACAAATGATTTAATTAATTGAACAGCACGAGATCAGCTCGCAGGATCCTTTTTTTCTAATTAAGCAATCCACGTATAATTTAACTCGATCTGCCGAAGGTTTTGTATATTTCAAAGCACGAGATCAGCACGCAGTATGCTTTCTCTCTATTAATTAAGCAATTGATGTATAATTCGATCTGATGGTTTTGTATTTCAAAGAATCTCCGCAAAGGGTTAATTTGAGAATTACTGGTTCACCAACAGGTTCCGTTCAGCAGAACTATTTTGATATTTGGAATATAAGGAAAGTTTCAAAAAACTTAAAAATCGCCTGCAAATTAACAGCGACATTATCAATTTGACGCAACGCGTATGCATAATATAGAAACGCTTTATTCGCCGGCAGACTTCCAGGCCGTTAACGGCTGGTCGACTGTCCGAACGCAAAGAAACGCGTGGGCGAATGAAATTCTCGGACGACCGAATCAATCGAGCCTGACATCTCGCCTCTCGGCCGTTCATCTACGCGACTATGGGCAAGGACAAGGGACGCCCGCAGACGTTGCTCGCCGGGAGATTGTCGCGGGACGGTTCAACGAGCCAGAAATACCGTTTCTTTGCTGTCGTTAAGCTGCGAGTACGCTGACCACCGATTCGCCGTTTCGCGTTTCTTTCGCGGTAACGGCGACCGTCATGGAAAAACTTTCAATACTGCAGTTATTAGACTTCAAATTTGACGAATTGCAACGGATTAATCATCGAAGTTATCGATACTGTTAGTTGTGGTTGTGTTCTTTGTAATTATTTATGATGCTGCAGTTATTAGACTTCAAAATGGACGAATTGCAATGGA